GGACACGACCGGTGCATCTCTTGTACACAGCATGGTGCTGCACACTCACCTGACAGCAAGAGTCCAGCTGGGCCTTTGTGTGTCACTGAACACCCAACTCTTGAGCCACGATCGCCCCCATTTACAAGAACAAACAGGAAACAAACTGTTTTCCACTCTGTGTTTATTTTATGAAGTGCGATTGTTAAATTATAACAAGTAAAAAACTTTGATCTTCATCACATTCTTCGCTTCAAGCTTTAAATTACCAGCTGGGTTATTCATCAGGACACTAAAGCACCTTGAACGAGCAGCAGATTTACGATCGTGTGGATCTTCTGAGCTTCTCTTTAAAACGTGAAGCAGGCGAGTTCAAGCCATGGGAAGGTCATGATACGCTGCATACTGTCCAGTCACCTGATGATAAATCTGTCCAAAAACATCTGTAAGAACCTCGTGTAAAACAAGACGTGTCACATCTACTGCGTGTTTACTGCGTACCCACCTGCCTCTCGATGTCAGCCAATAGGCTGCTGGCTCCCAGGCGAAACAGGCTGGGACAGAGCCAATCATCACCCAGCTCTTCTTTGATAAGACTCAGCCAAACCAAAGACTCTTCAGCTGTTCGGATGCCCCCTGCTGGCTTAAAGCCCACCTACAAGAAGGCATGCACACGCGTGTCAATAAAACACACGACACACTTGGAGCACGATGACACATCAAAGGTGGTACTTGGAAATACACACGCCTAAAAAAATGTTACGTGCACATGCGTCGACCAGCAGTTGGACCCATGTGACCTCGGTGGCTGTTTACGTTCCTCCCTCTGCTGTGACATTACCCCCTCTGCCAGAGCCCGGCTACAGACTCAGCACCTGAGGCTCCGTCTTTGGTGACTTCAACCCTGCCAGCTTTCACATGGCGGGGGGGCGGGGTTGGTGCTGATGGACCAGCGGCTCTACTGGTCCATCAGTACCTACTCGGATCTACTCAGCTCAGATCACCACGGTTTGCAGGGTTTTATTGGCTCAAAATGTGGTCATAAATATTTTGTACTTGTAAATCAGTTTCGTGTGTGTAAAAAGAATTTGTGTGTGTAAAAAAGATTTGTGTGTGGACTTAGCCAAAAAAAACGCTGCAAGTTACAAGTACGAATTTTGAACCTATTTTTCTGCCTTTCATCTGATTGGTCAATGTCATGTCAATCACAAATGTAAC